GGTTTTTCACATTTGGGTCAAAATAAACTATTCGAAATTTCACTTTGACCCAACTATGAAAGACCCGGTGCCTCGGTGAGATTTGAACCCACAGCAGCAAGGGGAGGCTCTAGCCACCTGAGCTACAAGGACCCACCGGACGACGCGAATTTAATCACATTTGGGTCAAGTTTACCCGCCCAACCTACTGCAACGTCTGGATCCACCAAATGTGATACAGTAAGCTAACTGCGTAAGCAGGATTTCCTAAGTATTACCAGATGACTACCAGGCTCACGTAATTCAAAATTTGCCAAAACACCTATTAATATGCCTAGTAGATTGGAAACGTCAACTAACTACGCAACGTATACTTTCAACTATTCGCATGCGAGAAGTAATCGTTTAAGTGGGCCCTCTGTCAGTCCACGCTACATGAACCCAGAAAATACACCTAAAAGATGTATACTTTTTAAGCAATGGCTTCCCAGAGAGTGTGACCGAAGTTTGGTTGGGAAGACAGACAATCAAGAGCCGGCGAGCCACAACTCGTAGTTCATGGGTAATGTAACTTAAACACACATACATACGGCATAAGCGCTCGCTAGGCAAATTCTTGGATACAAATCATAAAATAACGAACTACTGGATGACTCAATACACTAGAACAACCTCCACTAGCAGAACAGTCCCGACACTGCCCAGCTTTTTACACACAAGTTGGACATTTTATAAAAGAGCAATTTATAAAATTAGTTGAACTCAGAACTACAAAAAACATCTTGGACAACTTATTATGCGAAGTCTCCTCAACGGTAAACTGTGAGCCTCCTTGGACAGTGACACCAATTTCTCGGCTACGCTCTCAAACTAGAGGAAGCCTCAGGGTGAACTTGCAATACTGATGCGTTAAGAGCACAGTTTCGAAATAGTTCGTAGGGAGTGGTATACGGTCTTTTTAGAGTGCAGTCAAGTCCTATCGCCTGCAACAACCGTATTCAGAGAAAAGTGGCCGTTAAGTTATGCAATCCGAAGTTAATTAGTAGACGGCAGCTTGATGACTGAGTCGTGAATTCATCCAGTAACCCGTGTTTGTTACAGACGCGAAGAAGCAATGTGATTATTGAAATCGTAAATACGACCATCACTTGTGTGACGGTAATTAACGTATTCAAATGTGTCAGAGTCAATTAATGTTGCCTATCGGTCCACCGCACGCTTTCGACTAGAAATTGTCGGTGGCATGTTTGCATACTGTGGTGCAGGGGAGATAGATCGCACCACGGTCCTTAACTGACACCCAACTCTCATCTGTGGCTCCCTAAAGTTAGGCCTTGTCTAGCGGCCACACCCTGGTAGTTGCCTCGACCGGGGGGCCAGACCAGATGGAGAAATCTATTGTCATGTGTCCCTCCACACCTGATAATTCTGCTCCTTTTCCCATTGTTCTTCCTCCCACCCTGAAAAATCTCTACAGAGAAAGCGACATACAATCCCGTAGGCAACCCAGGATAACTCAGACCACTCTCCGCTAAACAAAGCCGTGACCCATAGTAGAGTTCGGCAGGCGTCCGGGATGTCTTAGAAGCCCTATTTAAGAACAGCACTTCTTACTCGCTTGTGAGAGGAGCTACAGAGAAAGCCCTAAGATTGCTGGGGAAACACGCTAACTGCAAGTATGCCGTGGCTCGTAGATGAAAAATTCGCGGTCGGGGCACAACAATGAACAACAACCGTTGCTCGCGTCCCCTTTATCCCTACCCATAAGCTGCTAGAGGTGACTGGTCGCGCTAACGGCCTGCAATGTTTGTTCCCTTCTAGAAAGCCCTAGGAGCAATCAGCGAGAACGGAGAACGGCGCTTGTCGCTCGAGAACTGACGCACTACAAGTTGGACATCACTGCTCTCAGTGAGACCCCTTTCCCTGGACACGGCCAAGCGAAGGTGGGTGCAGGTTACCCCTTCTTCTGGAGCGACCGCTCATAGATAGAGCGACACGAAGCTGGCGTCGCCGTTGTCATCAGGAATGGCATGGTGGGACGAGTGCCCTGCCCGCCGCAGGGCAGCAACGACCGCCTCATGACTCTGACCCTGCTTCTTCGGGGAGACAAATTCGCTATCATCATCAGTGCCTACATCCCCTTCTCCCAAATTACCAGCTTTAACGAGGCAAAGAACAAATTCTACGAGAACCTGCATACCCTCCTGGCGACAGTACCAAAGGCAGACAAGTTGGTTGTCCTTGGTGGGCTCAGTGTCAGCGTCGGAACAGACCCCGCTGCCAAGAACGGAGTGCTGGGTCTCCACGGTCTTAGCGGCTGCAACGATAAAAGCCTCCTCCTTCCACGAACCTGTGTCGAACGCCACCTGCTCCTTACCAGCACCATCCCCCTTCCGATGAGGGAGAAGGCAACCTGGATGTACCTACGATCGCGGCGCTGGCAGCTGCTGAACTATGCTCCCGTCCGGAGGCGAGATCGGCAGGTGCTGGTGACCAAGCTGATTTGCGACGCCGAAGACTGGACTGACCATCGCCTCGTCAGCTCCAAAGCGAGGTTATGACTGCAAACCCACAGGAGACCAATAGATAAGCAACCACCAGGCAAGTACCGTTTTATTGAATTTCCCTGCTCGCTGTTTCCATTTCGGCAATCGATCGACCCAGAGACTGGAAGGTCTGGGGGCTGCAAACGATAACGCCACCGTGGAGACATGGTGGTGCCAACCGCGAAACGTTATCCACTCAACCGTCCTAGACGCGCGTGTTGTCAACACCAGGACTGGTTTGACAACAGGGCATATATAAGCAACCTGCCCACCGAAAGGCGCTGACTGCAAAAAACCTGCATCAACCGCTGGACCGACGCAAGTAATGCGGCCTTCTTCGGATGCCACCGTTTTGTGCAGCAAGGGCTGCGGGAAATGCAGGAGGCCTGGATGGCTCGCAAGGCGGAGGAAACCCAGAGGTATGTGAGTCACAATTGAACAAAAACTTTTAAGCCTCAACCAAGGCGGACTACGGTCCCACGGCCAAATGAGCCGCACTGCTCCTCAGTTCCGGTGGAACAACAGTACTCACGAAGAAATCGCAACTTCCGAGGCCCTGGGTTGAGCACTTCAGAAGTGTCCCTAACCGCCCATCCACGATCTCCGACGCCGTCATCGACCGGCTTCCGCAAGTGGAAACGAACAGCCTGGACCCCCCACCTTGCCTCCCTGAAAACATCAAAGTAGTGCAGTAACTCTCCAGCGGAAAAACCCAGGCTCCGACGCGATCCTAGCCGAACTGTACAAATACGGCGGTCCCCGATCGGTGGACAAACCTACAACGATATTCAAGATGTGGCGCCAAGGACATGTCTTGCAGGATTCGAAGGATGCGACTATCGTCCATCTCTACAATAAATGGAACCGGTAAATCTGTGATAACCACAGAGTGATCTGGCTGCTCAACACCGTCGGAAAGATCTTCGCTCGCATTTTCAATCGTCTCGACAGCCAACAAGAACAGGAACTTCTCGCGGGAGGTCAGTGTGGCTTCCGACGACCCAGCGGAACCATCGACATGCTCTTCGCTGTCCGCCAGCTCTAAAAGAAATGCCAGAAGATGAAGGCCCATCTCCACACTACGTTCTCGGACCTGGCGAAAACCAGGCTTCGTTAGGCAAACTTTATACTGTATCCCACCTGTCATTTGGACACTAGTTCCAAGGAGTTAGATAGGTCTTGGACGCCGCTAAAATTATTACAACGGAAGAAACACCTTATAAAAGCGAAAACGCAATTTAAAGGAGCATGCCGTGGTTGCGTATCAGTAACATCGTGAAATCTGAAAGAAAAACAGTATCTCCTACTGTTTATGCATAAAGGAATCAGATGACGGTGGAAATGTTTGCAATTAAGCGTAACTGTGGAATCCTGATTCGTGAGGCAATTTTTGTCCCAAGGTCTTCCTAACTTCCCCTAATAACAATTCTGATTAGAATCTGAGCTTAGTCTAATCAGAGGTTTAGAATATTCTTACCAGAATCTGTGTTGAGGTTGTCCCACTTTTCGGCACAGATTCTGTGCAGATTATTCGGCCCGTAATCTCAGCCGAGGCTTTCCATCGTTCCGGCACAGATTTACCGCTGAGAATTTACACCTCATTTTTCAACTAAACACAACCCCCTTTCTTTATAGAACTGGTAATATTTTACTAGTCCGCTTTTACAGTTTACAATTCCGCGCATGAAACAATTCCATGGGCATTTATTGGTCAACAAAAGATAAGCTTTGGACTTCGTATTCTATGCCTTAAGGATCTTATGGACGCCGTTTTGTTGACTAACAGTCGTTGTCAGTGCAGCTCCACGGCACATATGTGAAGCGAGTACTCACTTCACAATAGTGTGCTTCAGTCAGTGATCACATGATAAACAGTCTCACCAGCTAAATTAAATCAAAGGGCAATGTGGTAAAACAGAAAGACAACGGATTATTTGGCAAATAAAACGGGTATTGCACAGCAAAACGGAGATGGGCGGCGAAACAATACTAACCCCGCCTTTTACAGAAGCGCCCGAAGAGCGCGCCATATGGCTGGACGTAGGATATACAAACACGATCCCGAGTGCTCCATGTTTCTGTGAAACTGTTTATTGTATACTTGGTTTTCAAACAAATGAAGCCGATAGTTCCCTTAAATAAACAAAATTAAAAGCTTCTGGTAACATAAAGCGAGAGCACTAGTAGTTAGAGTGGGACGAATCGACCAGTCACCAATCACCACGTACAACAAATGATCGAACGGGGCTCGTTGGGCTGTTCTTTAGTTTGATTTACTGCCCAAGTTTCCTTAAGTGTTCACTAATATTTAACTTGAGAGACAATCCCTGTGTTCTTACTAACTGGCATTCACATTTTAGTGAGGGTGACCATACTAGGCTACCGTAGGATTACTCGCTCTCCTCTCTACGTCAGAAGAGAACGGAAAGCCATCGAAATCTATGAAATTAATATTTTAACATGATAAAGAAAATACTAATGTTTGCTCAAGGGGGATCCAGAGGACGACCGGGTACCGCTTAAGAAGATCTCACTCGGTCTCACTCGGCGTTGTCGTCCAGTGAAGGTACAAAAAGCCCTGCCTGCTTAACTAAGGACCTAAATAAACAGCTAAGGGAGGAGAATAAAAAAACGGAATACATTCAGGGGAATCGGAAAACCGGTATCCCTCAAAGAGTTTTGTCGTCATCGAAATGCAGTCAAAGATTGTCAGACAAGGAAGGTTTATGAATCCAGAATTATCCGGTAGGTTGAACAAATGTATGATTTTATTCCACTAAATCATCAGTCTACTGAGAAACAAGAACTCATTTGCAGTTCTGAAGGATAAAAATGGATAAGAAGTCGTTTAAGACGGTGAGAGAGTTGACCACTTGGGATAGTACTTTGCCTCAGTATTCATTAGGAAAAAGAAGTTTTAGAATCACAAAGTCTTCATTAATATTGTGGCCGTCGGTCCCGTACTTGAAACCATACGCTTCCGGGCATCTGTCGTGAAAAGAGAGCTACAGATTCTCAAAGAAGCAAAGCCACCGGTCTGCACAATATACCGGCAAAATTCTTGACATAATTGGCGAACGAAGTCTCCAAACCACTAACGCATATCTTCCATTCGTCATAGGAATTAGGGAGGTTCCCATCTGAATGGGAGACAACAAATATCTGCCCGATATGCATCGCTGGGTCTCACAGTAATGTAAACGATTACCGGCTCGTCAGTCTTATATGCATTTGCTGTAAAAGTTGGAAGTCATACCCAAGAAGACGACATTGGATATCTTGGAGGGGGGCCACTTATTCTCAGGGGTCTAACGTGGCTTCAGACAGGACAGCTCATGCCTTTCCAATTTATTGCTCTCGACCGAGCAGTGGGCTCGAGCACTGGATGGAGATGGTAGCGCCGATGTCATCTTTAATGATATCAAGGAGGCTTTCATCAGCGTCCCACGCAACTTGTCTGGAATCGGAATATGAGTAAAGCTGACGACATGGATCGCAGATTTTCTTATAGGGAGATCACAAACCGTGTGTGTTGATGTCTCGATGTCAACCCATTCCTTCTTTCTGAATGGTGTCCCCCAGGGTTCAGTCTTAGGGCCTTTGTTATTCCTAGTTTACATTAACCACTGTGTCGACCACGTGGGATGCAGCGCCGTCATGTTAGCTGACGATTTTAAACTGTGGAGAGCCATCGGATCGGGGGCAGAGAGGTATGCCCTTCGAAAGAGTCTAAACTGATTTATCAGCAAGTCAGTCTGCTGACCCCAACATTTTAATGTGGGCATATGTACGGTCCTGAGATCCCGTACAAGAAGTATCAGTGAGGAGGATGATTGTTTACGATACCTCCTTGATGGGCAGCCCCTTTCAAATTCAGTATCATTTAGCATATATAAGGGATAAAGACAGAGCCTTGGAAAACCCTATTAACAGACAGACGGCCTAAACGCATGCACATATTCACATAACAGTTGTTAAGTAAATATTTGACCATCAAGCATAAATTTATCTAGTCTTTTTTGAAGGTTTCAACGTTTTCCGCAAAGACAATGGAGTTCAGCAAATCATTCCATCCTCAGCCAGACGATGGGAGAAGAATTTGACCTACTTTATTTTTGATTTGTATGGGTGGCCTCAAAGCCTGGTCGTTCGCGCCAGTTCGATGAAATCGTCAAACTGAAGAGCACAGTCTAGCCCTCTGACGATCCTACAGGCCATGATTATATCCGTTCTCTATTGTCTATTAAAAAGAGAGGAAATATTTTTAGGTTTTCCAGGCGTCTCTCATAAGGTAAGCAACCTAATCCGCCAACCAGTTTGGTTGGTCTTCGTTGTACGTTCTCCAGTAAGGTGTAATCCTGGTTCGTTCATGGACACCATGCCTGAACGCAATATTTCAATATTGGTCGAACAAATGCCCCAAGTACTCGGCCGAAAAATTCTTCGTCAAAATTGAGGAAGGATCTCCTGATCGCGTCTAGGATACCCATAGCCTTCCTTGATACCTTGGCGCAGTGAGACGATGGTTTGACAGTTGACGTCATCCACACACCGTGCTCTCTTAACTCTTTGACTTCTTCGAGTTGGTGATCTCCTAGAGAGTAGTGAGATTGAAATCTCAATGGCCTCCTGTTGTTAGATCGTAATCGGATAAGTTGGCATTTGTTAAGCTTGAGGTTAAGACACCACTCATCACACCATAGTTTCAAGCGATTCAGATTATTTTGTAACAGTAGAGAGTCTTACGGCTTCTCTATTGATTTCCACAATTTGAGATTATCGGCAAGCATTACGAGCTCGCAGTTCAGACAGTCCAAGCAGTCGTTCACACATATTAAGAGCAGAATTGGATCCAGTATGCTCCCCTGCGGAACGCCACTGTGAACGGGTGCCCATTCCGAGTTGGCGTTACCGATACACACACGCTAATCAACAACATAAAGATCTAGGCATCCTAATGGTCTCCGTGCTGGAACCAACATCGCAGTGTCTTAGTACAACCAAACGCGCGAAGT